TATGTTGTTCAACAACCTACAGTACAAGTGATAGAATTCTAGAGTAAACAGCAAAAAGATTAAAATATTTTGTTTAAATATATGGATATGTTGTTGGATATTTAAGATGCACTTGGAATAATTAAGAAACCTGATGGAAAAACATTAAACAGCAAGCCAAAAATCGGCTAGGGGACAGGCTCTTGGCTCGTAGACCCAGTTAAGGTCGATTTATATTAGAACGTGACGGGCATCTTACGGGACGTGTTGGAGAACGAGTCCCGTAAGGCGTTTGTATTTACATTAAACCGGGCTGCTTACGGCACAGCAGTGGCTGGGATCTTCAACTCAATTTTTCATCAGTTTTTCTAGCGTTCACGTCAGGAAATGCTTTTTGTATGTGCGCACGCGATAATAACATGAACTTTAACACTGTTGAATTAGCAGCTATTGCTGTAGCTCTTGATGAGGAAGAAGGCGAAAAGAGAAGATGGGATTTACATCCAGCTTGGAAGAAAAGGGGATAAGAAGGTGAATTCGTTACCCTCTACAAGAAGTTGAACTATGACAAGGAAAAGTTTTTATGGCTATTTTAGAATGACTCATCAATGTTTTGCACTTATGTTACGTGTTGAGTACTGACAGGGGTGGAGTTATACTATATGGGATGGGGAAAGAAAGAGCTGCGGGCTGGCTCCGGGGCGCCGTAAGGCCCTAATGTAAACTATCCTACTTGAAAACAATGAGATAATATGTTGACGTGACAGCCATCCCCGTTCCCTGCACGTTCTAATATAAATCTGCCTTTAATGTGGGTTCAATTTCCAATTTGTCCCTGGCCTTTCTTTTCTCGCTCCTCTTCCACCATCAAAAAAATATGCATACATATACCAAACTTGTCTTTCCTAACATGGAAAACTTAAGGCCATAATTAAAAATAATAATAATAAATAACAGATAAAAATAACTAATCAGCTAAATTTGGGACCTACATTCTAGTACAATATGACCACTTGACTACGGTAGCCTTAAATAGTTAAGATACCCTCCCTTGGCTAAACCTAGGACAGCAAACTAATTTCATCATAATAAATTTATTTGTTAGTTAAGAAATAAATATATAGTATAGCAAAAGGCAGTATAGCATAAAATATTCAACGTCTAAATCCCGCAGAAAAGTAATGACACTTAATCCTATTAATATTTAACTCCACAGCAGACTTCAGAATATTTAGGATTTAGAAAACAAAAAATCAGTTGAATTGTCTATATTCTACTACTATGACACTGCATGATTCTGTGGTAGCCTGTCTAATATTCAAGAAAAAACTCCCATGGTAAAATTTTTGACAGCTAACCGATTTGGTTCATAATAAAAATATTTGCAGCTAAGATAAATATTTATTATTTGGAGATCGTGACGCGCGGTCTGGTGAGGCGTAGGTTTTAGAAAAACATTTTCTTTATCATGACAACGTTTCGATTTTTATTGAGATCATCTTCAGGACCTGGGATTTACAAACATTGTTTACATTTAACAAATACATTTAGGATGTGGAAAAAAAGTGAATTTATACAATGCAAACAAATATTTTTGATATTCAATCAAAGTATTTCTACTCACAATGGCACAATTACGCAGAAAACAAACAATTTGTGTGAGTAGAAATACTTTGATTGAATATTTAAAAAAATTTTTTTTTGCATTGTATAAGTTCACTTTTTTTCCACATCAGACATGTATTTGTTAAATTTAAACATGTTTGTAAATCCCAGGCCCTAATGATTTTAGAAAACAAAAAATCAGCTGAATTGTAGGTCTATGTTCTACCACTATGACACTGCCTGACTCTGTGGTAGCCTGTCGAATATTCAAGAAAAAAACTCCCATGGCAAAATTTTGGACAGATAACCAATTTGGTTCATAATAAAAATATTTGCAGCTAAATATTTATACCTTGCACCATACAGTATAATATTACAATACAAAAAAAAATTGTCTACATCCTGCCCAATGTAATGACACTTTGTCACCCTAACATTTAATTCCACAGCCAACTTCGGAATTGTTGTAAAAACCGTATGATGAAAAAACATTAAAGAGGAAACCAAAAATCCACTAAATCAAAGGTTTACATCCTAAAAATCCAATGATCCTTGACTCTGTGGTAGCCTGTCAAATATTCAAGAAAAAACTCCATGGCAAAATTTTGCTAACCGATTTGGTTCATAATAAAAATATTTGCAGCTAAGATAAATATTTGTTATTTGGAGATCGTGAGGTGCGGTCTGGTGTGACGTAGGTTTTAGAAAAACCTTTTCTTTATCGTGCCAACGTTTCGATCTTTATTGAGATCATCTTCAGGGCTCGAAGTGTTTGTTTTCTGCGTATATGCACCATTCTTGCGGAGAGAGGGCACTCTAAACACGACAGACAAGAATGACACATCTACATGGAAAAATAACACTTTGAGCACTGAAGATGATCTCAATAAAGATCGAAACACTGGCACGATAAAGAAAATGCTTTTCTAAAACCTACGTCACACCAGACCACACCTCTACATCCTAGAAATATGAGATTGCTTTACTGTGGTAGCCTGTTTTATTTAAGACCTTAATGGCTCAAACTTGGCCAATAAACCAATATGGTTCATAATAAACCTATTTCTTAGCTAGAATTAAATATTACAGCATTTTTTAAAGCAAAATATTGTAAAATTCAACCCGCTGATGGAACATACTGGAGAAAGTAGAATAGTTTTTTGCCTTAGATTCAATATTACTTTTCAATCTGGTTTAAAGTTAAATAAAGTATTAAGACTGGTAAGTAATATTTGAAATTTGTAAGTGGTAAGTAAAATAAATGAAACGACATAGATATACATACTGAGGTGTGGTCACCTCACGATATTCCAAATAATCATTGGCTAACGGTCACTTAACACCACACATAAATATTTACATTGTTCATAATATGTTCAAAATATATTTCATGACATATTTGCAGCTAAGGTACACCTTGTACCATACAGTATTATATTACCATGCAAAAAAAATTCATCTACATCCTGCTCAATGTAATGACACATTGTCCAGTACTATGACACTGCTTGACCCTGCAAGTCAAATAATCAAGAAAAACTCAGGACAAAATTTTGGACAGCCAACCAATTTGGTTCATAATAAATATATTTCCAGTTAAGATAACTATTTGTAACTTGTACCATACAGTGCAATATTATAACGCACAAAAATTCATCTATATCCTGACCAATGAATGACATTGTCTAGTACATGACACTGCATGACTCTGTGGTATCCTGTCAAATATTCAACAAAAAAAAAAACTCTCAAAACAAAATTTTAGACAGTTAATGAATTTGGTTCATAGTAAATATATTTGTAGGTAAGATATAAATAAATATTTATTATACCTAAGATAAAAATATTGATACCTTGCACCATACAGTATAATATGTGGCGACTGGCGATTAGTGACCATTTGTCAATGATTATTCAGAAATTATGAGATGCAGTCTGGTGTGATGTAGATTTCAGAAAAACATTTTCTTTATTGTGCCAACGTTTCAATCTTTATTGAGATCATCTTCAGGGCCTGGGATTTACAAACATTGTTTAAATTTAACAAAAACATGTAGGATGTGGAAAAAAGTGAATTTATACAATGCAAATAAATATTTTTTTATATTCAATCAAAGTATTTCTACTCCCCCCCTGAAGATGATCTCAATAATGGTCGGAATGCACGATAAAGAAAATGTTTTTCTGAAACCCACATCACACCAGACCGCATCTCACGATTTCTAAATAATCCAGTATATTACAATCCAAAAAAATTCATCTACATCCTGCTCAATGTATTGATGCTTTGTCACCTTAACATTTATCTTCACAGCAGACGTTGGAATAGTTAGAAAAACCTTCTGATGAAAAAGCATTAAAGAGAAAACCAAAAATCAGCTAAATGAAAGTTCTACATCCTAGAAATACGACAATACTTGACTTTGCGGAAACTTGTTGAATTTAAGACCTTAAAGGCTTAAACTTGACCAAAAAAAACAATATGGTTCATAAAAAACCTATTTCTTTGCTAGAAATAAATATTACAGCATTTTTTTTAAAGCAAAATATTGTAAAATTCAACGCTCTGACAGAACATACTGGAGAAAACTACAATAGTTTTTTTGCCTTAGATGATTCAATATTAGTTTTCAATCTGCTTTAAAATTAAATAAAGTATTAAGACTGGTAAGTCATATTTGAAATTTGTAAGTAGTAAGTAAAATAAATGAAACGACAATTTTAAATGTCTGAAGGCGGGTACGACCAACTGACAAGATGCTGAAACTGAGCGAACAAAGATAAGGCTTTTTGACTGAATGGAAGAGGAATGAAGATAAAAAAAAAATATAGAGAAAAAATGAAGATAACGATCTCAGATAGGATGAAACGTTCAACAAAAAAATCTTAAAAAACGTTGTCTCTACCTACCCAGGATGAAATGTCAAGCATGTTTTTTGTTGTTTTAATATATTTTAATGAGTAAGTTTTTGAATTGAAAGTATTAAAAGACGAAAATTTTATGAAACGCACTTAGGGTCAATTTGTAAACAAGAAAACGTCACGTTGGAACTCGACCAATCTGTCAATCTAGTTACAATCTGCCGAGGGGAATTTTGGTTTGACCACAGGGAACTTTAAAGCGGTGCGTTTTATCGATGATATTTTTAAAGAAATATCGTGTTTTTTGCAATAGTATTATGTAAGGAGAAGAAGTGGAAAATTTAGAATGTCACTTTAAGCCCATGCCCTGGAAAAACCTGACAAAACCACCCAGCGTGGTTATTTTTAAAATGTTCCGAACCCAGAGATTTTCTTATGGATCCTTTTGTATTCTATTAAACTTGACAAGGTGGAAATACATCTAAAAAAACACCAGAGTTGTCGGGTATTCAGGTGACATGGTCTGAGCTAGAAATATAAAGTTATCCGCTTACGTCCGTTTGTCTCGAGTCTGCCGGGTCTCAGGCGCAGGGCATAATAAACAGCGGCGTAGACGGTCTGAGTTTCCTTTTTCCTTCGGGCACGCAAGAAATGACACGAGTCCTAGAGTCGTGCCGTCCAGAGCAGAGCTAGAGCCACTGCCACGTCAGGCAGAAAGTGTACTTGCGCATTGCAAATACACGTCAGTCAGTGTTGTAGGGGGAAGGACGTCTCTGGGCCGACGGACATGAGCCGGCCGCCCACCCGCCCAAACCTTTCCACAAAACAACTTCTGGACAATAATTACGTTGTTAAGATATTTAATTTTATAAAAAAATTATATTGTGTCATTATATTATTCTATATTGTGTACATCATTACATAAATCCATATCTTTATATATTTATATAATTTTAAAACTGTTTATAAATCCCAGGGCCTGAAGATGATCTCAATAAAGGTCGAAACGTTGGTAAAATAAAGAAAATGTTTTTCTAAACCTACATCACAAAAGACCGCATCTCACTATCTCCAAATAATCTTTAATTAACGGTCACTAAATTCTACAAACCTCCACCAAAAGTTATTTTACAGGCAAAACCTAATAAAATTATACAGTATTTACAAATATACCTAGGAGTTAATTAAACAAACAACTGATTTATAATTTCAATTCAATAACAAATAATTGGAAGTATGAATTATTAAATAAAAAGATTATTTCGAAATCATGAGATGCGGACTGGTGTGATGTAGGTTTAGAAAAACATTTTCTTTATCGTACCAACGTTTCGATGATTATTGAGATCATATTCAGGGCCTGGCATTTATAAACATTGTTTAAATTATACAAATATACGTGATATGTGAAAATGAATTTAAACAATGATGTACACAATATAGAAATTTTAGGTTGAGTTCTCCATCTGGCAGGCCAAAATCATCAACTGTAACAAAAGATCATATTTATCATTGTTATTGTAAATTTTTAAATTGTCATTGTAAATTAATATAACATATTTTGAAATATTATACAAATAATACTAAAAAAAACACTTATATAAAAATTATGAAAATTGGTGGGGTTGAGATGGAAGTTGGTGTCCGAGTGGATCGAGGTCACGATAGCTCAAATGGTAGAGCAGCGGCGTATCTAGCCGAAGATCGTGGGTTCGAATCCCGCTCGTGCCATTGACTTTTTTATCTCAACCAAAAAACATTAATTGGTCAATCGGACCACGAAATTATTGAATATAAAAATTATATTGATTAAGTATGACTTTTAGTAAAAATTTTAATTGGAAAAGGTATAAAGCTAAATAAGGAAATATATACATGTATAGACATACACATACATAAGTGCAAGTTAAATAATTTATACGAAAAACATGTTGTATATATATAAAAATATTTATATATATATATATATATAAAGTGGAAGGTTTATGGGCCGACAAACAGCTGAGGTCATCGCCGGCCCTCCGCATGTATTCCTTCTCTTTCCTGTCTTTCTCGCGTATTTTGTACTGAACTGCAGCCATTTGAGCATCTCGATCTGGTTACTGACTCTCTCACATGTAAAAATAATGAAAGATAATTTAGCTTAAATTATACATAAATATGTGCCTGTTGTAATGCCCTAAAATTATCAATTTATTATTTATTTGTATTATTATAAATATATTTATTATAATAAATTAAAATATTTACCAAAATAGATTGTGTACGGTTCAAGCTTGTAAAAAATAGTTATATTTCTCTAGTTTTTATAATAATTTTAAAACTGCAATTTTAGTTGTTACAAACACATGAGAAAATAAATGTTAAAAATCTATGTTAAACATAAAACAAGTGATGTAGCTGAGGATACTCTCTCACACAGGGCCAAACTTTTGTATCCGGATTTAATGATATAATGATATCAATTAGTGTGGATTGTTTAGTTTGAAACGTAAAAGGGACAGTTTAATTTTTTATCGGATGGATTGGATTTTATAATTTTAAAAAAATTACGTAAAATATTCCATGTTATTTTATCTTGTTCTAGTTAAAATATCCATCCTTGATTTTTTATATAATTTATTATTTTTTATTATTTTCTCTTGCAACGTCCTCTGGCAGACGAATTTTATCCATTTCTATAAACTTTTTTTTTAATAAATAAAAGTATCAATGTAAAATAGGACATTATTGAAAGCATGTATTATAAAAGACAAAAAACAACTGTGGGCTTAGTATTCAACCTTGCCGTATCCATCAATCAAACTTCACAGATTTAATTTTTAATTTTCAATTTCTTGAAACATCAAAATTTAGAAAGGGAGTACATTTTTTATGGCAGTTAGTATGAAAGAATAAATTGAAAAATTTGTGAAGAACGCAATAGGACATTTTCTGCTGGCCCTAGACTTTCAATTTTATAGGATTCCTTTTCAATTTTCTTTATTGGATAACAAAAGGCTATTTATATTTAAGTAAAAATTTAGTTTTTGTTTGATTTTATACAATTTTGTTGTTATAAATTTGCCATTATTATTATTATTATTTTTTGGCTGGGCATTCGGACGAGCGGCATAGAATCAATCAATCAACACTGTCGAGCTGCGGGGGAAGAAACGTAGCGGAGGTTATTCGCATAGAACCTGTGTTGTATTTTCCGATCGTCCAACTTCGTCTCTAGAGGCGGATAAGAGGCCATCCCCAGGGTGCGACATTTGCCGTTGCGGTTAAGAGGTGCCGCCGGCGCAGAGGTGCGTTCCGTTGAGCCCGGCTCGGATCCGCGAAGTCGCGTCTAAGCCGCCGACCTCCTCCAGGGCAAAATGCCGATCTCTTTGAATGTCATCGACGACCCGACGACACCAGGTTCGTTCGATTTTCCACAATCGTCCTAACGCTTTTCGCCTTTCGACCTGCCCCCCTCCCCCTTCGCAAAGAAAATAGCGAAGCGCTACGGGCCAATTTGAGATCTCGGTACGTCCGAACTGAGCGCAGCGAAAATATGTGGAGGCGTTATGCCAAATGCGTCTGATTTTTATATCCAGTAGTTTAAAATAATTTTACTACTATTATTTCCCAAGGAAAATATGCAAATTAATTTATTTTTGTTCATTCAATTTACTGTAATATGGGAAAAAATAAAAGTAAACAAATTTTTTTTCTAAATTATTTTTTATATAATTTATGTTAAATATTGTAAGCTTTTCCATTGGAAATAAATTTAAAAAATTCATTTTGTGCTGGAATTATTGTGTAAATTTTATTTAAACCGCTCAAAAATGAATAGGAATATGCCAATTTTGTAGTATTTACTTTCCCTAGCTTTTTTATTTTATTTTTATTGTAAATTGCATTAAAAATTATTGTTTTTTACTGAAGGAAATTAAGGGATTTGAAAAAAAAATAACCAAATAAATTGTTTTAATGCCATAATTTTGTTTATTGGACATAATATTTTTTTTAAAAACAATTATTACTGTGTATAATGTTCTCTACGAGCTGAAACCTCTGTGCACCTGCTAGGCATACTGTTAATAAGGTTGTCACTAATAATTTCATAAGGAATTCCACTCCATAGATGTTGCAAAGTTGCACTCAATTGTTGCGGGTCAACTGGCTGCAGATGGTGATGGAATTTCTTTGCAACGCGTCAGACATGTGCTCAAGGGATTGAGGTCTGGAGACAAGGGCAAAGGGTAGATGGGAAATTCCCAGGTTTTCTAAACATTGATGAACAACTAGGCCTGTATGAGGTCTGCCATTGTCATCCAAAAATCGAACATCCCTGCCAATGAGGTCCCTGGTTTGAGGGATGTATTCCTCGATAATTTCTTGGACATGAGGTTGCCTTCAACAATATGGAGTCTAGTTCATCCTCCATTGTAATTCCCAGCCCAGACCATTACCACCATTTTTCAAACTGCTTGAAGCGAGCATGAACTGGGGCACTGTATGCGTCCCCAGTTCTCGGTAAGCTGCATACCTACTATGTTCGCGAACTAGTTGAGGTGATCCTGTAACCACTTTAAGTGGAGACGAGGCTGCGAACACGGTTGCTCCGCAAGAGATCCGCAGTTTCGACCCGAACACGGAAGGAACATGTCCGAGGTAGTCGCTAGTGCAGTATGTTCAACCACTATTTGGCTGAAGATTATAGAAGGCCCCGTTGTTTTTGGCAAGCAAAACGTAAAACAAGAGCTAACCATGACTCCTGTTGAACCTAACATTGCAAGAATTAAGCAGTCACTACAAGAATTTTTTGCGAATGGCTTCCTCCACTTTAGATCTAAAGTTGGTAGCACTGGCCATCCAAAAAACAAAACGTTTCGAGATTATACATGATGTATATGTACACACTATATAATGTTCCTTGCTGACATCCATGAACCTACTGTGCTCCCCTTTGAGTTAGCCCAAAAACCAACAGACATTGGAATGCTCTCGAATGTTATGTTGTCACTAAAGAGGGATCTGGTTCGTGAGCATAGTAGGTACGCAGATGTAGACTCTTTGGCACCTGCTATCACTATACAGACAGAAATGCAACTCATCAGTAAACATTCCAATTGTTCTCTTCTAAGCACTCTGCACCATCTTCTCTTAAGTTGGTGGTGGTGGGCTGTCTCAAAGAGTCATACGATCTGAGGCCAACTTCCCACAAATAATTACGAATCTTTTGTGTTGATAAAGGCCTTGCCAAAACATCTTGTATTTGCTTAGGATCTAGCGGGCACTATGGAAAGGGTCATGCAGCATGGCAATATTTCTGTAATCCCTTAGTGTTATAATGTGCTGAGATCCATCCATTCCAATTGGTACTTCCAGTCTTTCGGAATTAGGCTAAAGCCTGGGAGACCATTCTCTGAGTTAAGGCAACTGCCTCTGCGACATCCACCTGCCGGTGACCTCGATGACTCATTCTAACAACAATATTGTGAACATCTGGTTCAAGATGATATCTTTCTATGGCTAAAGAGGGAGGGGGGCTGCGGTAGCCGAGTGGTTAAGGTGTCAGACTCTTGGCTAGTAGATCCCGCGGTTGTGGGTTCGATCCCCACTATCGCCTCTGGACTTTTTCTAACGCCTAAGATGATAGGCCGTGACCGGTGGCTGCAATTGAAAGAAATTGACACAGTATTCATCAATGGAAGGAGCAGGATCAGATCTCAGCGACCCTGAATTTGGTCCCAACCCCCTTCAAAAATGAGTTTCTTCGATGGAAGAACACTGGCACACCGGGGGCTCAAGTTCATATTTGTGTTGCGAGCCCTCCCCCAAAATATGGAGCCAGGGATAAAGTTCAATAAGCTGTACAGCTGCAGTGCTCAGGAGGGAACTCCTCCAGATCCTGGTATCCATTGGGAAGGAAATTTAAAAAAAAAAAAAAAAAAAAAATGAAATACAACTGGTTTAAATTGGAGAAAAGACAAGAAAGGTGTTTGTTTACAAAGTGAGTTATCTTCGTGTTTACTATTCTTAAGTAAATCCATTATTAAAAAATTATTAATATAAAAAATCCGTTATTAAATGAGGATTGACCAATTTTTTGTTTTTGGTGTTTATTTTCTATTTTATCCAACTAACAAGAATATATTGGTTAATTTTATTAAAATTAATAGAATAAGTATAAATTTCAAATATCTGTATTCATTTTTGAGCAGTTTAAAATATACAGTGCATCAAAAAATTATTCATACATTTGATTTTTGGAAATTTTTCTTTGATTTTATTTTATAATTAAAACTACACTGAAAGACAAATTTAACGCACCACTCAATTTATTTAGTTTAAAATTAAATCCATTATCTTTCCACATTAGTTACAGGTAATTAGAATCTATCATGGTCAAAATAAACAGTATATAATGCTTCGTTTACTTTATTTATTTATTTTTGTACTGTTTAATTCCATTTGCTCAAAAAATAACATTGGGCCCTTCCAGTCAGCTCTTGTTTCTTTACTCTAGCATACTTTGATGTGGAAAGACTGGAAGCTAATGAAATGGTTTCCTCGTAAATTAAACATAAATTAACTCATAAATTAAATATTGCTTTATATCTGAACTGATTGGTTTCATCTTGTTGAACCCTGATGAGTTCTTGACATATTTGACCATTATTCCCAGAAGAAAACTTTTTCAAACTTTTTTTGGGCAGTGCGCTTATTTATTTTTTCATTATTGAACACAGTGTAAGTTTTATGATGATATTTTGAAACTCAAGGGGCTACAAAAATAATTAGAATTATCAAGCGGAAAGAAAAAAATTGTTAAGAGTTCATATGCATTTTTCAAATTATAAATTAAATTGTACATATATAAAACATAGTAATAATAAAGAAAAAGTGAAAATATACATAATAACTGTAAAATTGAATATTGTTCCCATTATTAAAAAAATCGTGAAGTGGTTTTTGTTTCAATGTGGCTTGGTGTCCTTTGTTTAAATAATTTTCTGAAGTGACCTTTGTTGATAACACATTGACAAAACACCAACCACAGAACATAACAAACTAGAGAAAATTCGAAGAAACTTTGGGCTGTCAGGAAGTAAACAATATGTGGAAATTTAGAGGAATATAACAAAAAAAGTGCAAATTGGAAATGGGAATTGGCTCCAGTTCATTTAATAGCATACTTTACTCCCCCTGTTAGGAAAAATATTTCATATAACCGAGTGTATCAAAATGCACAGATTTTTTTTTGGAAATTCGAATTATCAAGACTGTAAGTTTCGAATTCTCAAGACTGTATTCCTGTGTAAATAGAAATGATGACCATAATGAACATATATTTTTATGAAACAATACATTACATTTAGTACATAATTACAAATTGGAGTGACAGTGACAGAGCCACTTTAACTACAACCAGAAAGTCAAGAAAAAGTTTTAAAATGCCATTCATTTAGCTAGAAGAATTCACAAAATAGATTTTGAGGGCCCAACTAAATTAATAAATAAATGAATAAATTTAAATAATTAAAAAGATTATGTACATTTACGGATCAGAAATTATAGAAATATCACAGCACTTAATGTTGTATCACAAATGTCATAAAAATCACAACTCAGTCTCGAAGCAGAATGTTCTTTGCACCGGTACTTCCAGTGCTTATTAAGGTCATAGGCTTCTATTTCTGTGCGTAGGGCATTTCTCCTAGCTGCACATCTGAAGAAGCATAGTGTTTTTGACTTCACCTCCTTGGCAATGGTCTTCATTTTGGTCATCTCGTGGACATGCTTAATCCTGGTCCATCTTGGACAGGGTGTGAAACCTCAAAAACTTATTTTGGATCACTTGTAACATGCTGAGGGTTGTCCGTCAATCGATGCTCCAAGCAGGACTTGCATACAGAAAGCATGGGCTCAACAATGCTGCTTTAGAAAGCACTCGTCATAGAGACCCATGCTAGTAGAGGAAACAGCGGCCTGATCAGTTTTTCCGCGGTCTGTTCTATCTGTCACATACCTGGTTAGGCTGCTATTGATTGTTAAGCCCAGATATTTTACACAGCCTGACCAGGGAATGCTATTTCCTGCTGCCACAGCATGATTGATTACTGCAGGTCTTTTGGTGAAGAGGATGGCTTCTGTTTTGACAAAGTTAATTTTAAGTCGATGTTTAAGAGTTCCCTCCTGAGTACTGCAGCTGAGCTGTACAGCTTATTGTACTTTATCCCTGGCTCCATATTTTGGGGGAGGGCTCAAAACACAAATATGAACTTGAGCCCCCGGTGTGCCAGTGTTCTTCCATCGAAGAAACTCATTTTTGAAGGGGGTTGGGACCAAATTCAGGGTTGCTGAGATCTGATCCTGCTCCTTTCATTGATGAGTGCCGTGTCAATTTCTTTTCAATTGTGGCCACCGGTCCCTTTAGGAGTGAGAAAAAGCTCAGAGGTGACGGTGGAGTTCGAACCCATGACCGTGGGATCTACTAGCCGAGAGTCTGACGCCTTAACCACTCGGCTACCGCAGCCCCCCCACACATTTTTTTACTACATTATCACAGTAAATTCCACATAAATTTCTACAGTAATACATTGCTCTACGCGTGAGATTTAACTGGTATAGCAAAAAATGAATTTTGTCTGCTTCCATGTCGTACATGCTGCAGTTTATTCTAGACTGACTTTTGGAATCAACTACTCCTTTCTTTAGGATCGCTTTCAGTAGGGCTTTTTCCACCTTAGAGCTAACAGGCGGCTAGCAGGTAATAACGGATCACCTTTATAAGGATAAAAGGTTGAAATATTAAAAAATCAAAAAATTTATACACGCACTCAATATATTATTATTACGGATGAATGACTTTAATTAAATGTTTACAGTGAAGGATGAACACTTCCTCCTCCCAGACAATCACAGTGTTGTCGCTGAAAGTGTCGGAAGCGGGCACCACAGTGAAACATCGTCCCAACGTCCCAAAATGGATGTAGTCTGTGTTATCGACTTCACACAGACAGACGACAGCCTGGCACAAAGAAAGAAGTGCTTTGAAGAAGTGAAACAGGCCTGTTCTTCTGTCAATGCTGTTTTACAACATATTCAAGTGGGTATATATTTTTTTTTATTTTCCTTTACAAATCAGCTAATTTTGATCTATAGTTTCAAAAATTGGACTTTGGCGAGACAAATGTGTTGACTGCGTTGTACAATGCAGATGTTGCTATAGTCGATTTGTCAGTACAAGAACACCAAAGAGCACTTTTTTACCACCTGGGAGTGAGAGAAAGCTTTAAAATGAAAGAGAACATTTTATTGTTTAATGATATAGACACTGAAGCTACTATCCGGTTGAAGGTGAATATAATTTATACCATTATAAAATAATGTTATTAACAACAAATTACTTTTCAAGCTCACATGTGCCGCTTATACTTTACTATGTTATCGAGTTTCTGAAAACGGTGCCTGTGTGTGCACGAATCCAGGAGGTCAAAGAAAAACAGACGACTCTTTGCCCGAAGTTCCACGCATATCTTTAGCGATCAAACTGACAAAACTCCTCCAGGACGTAGAGGTTCAATCAAAGTAAAAAATTAAAATTCTCTGGACATTTTTGTTTGTTTTTTGCGCATTGTAATAATAACTGTTATTCCAGGGTGCATATAAAAGAAAAATTTCTTGCTGACTTGAAGAAAACGAGAGAAACGCTCACTGGGGCTCAACTTTCAGTTGCACTTAAAAATATGAGAAAGAGATTGGACGATCCGAGGGTACTGTCTGCAGAAGTAGTTTATGCTATGTTGATATCATTCCGGGATATCCAGGTATTTTATTATAAATTGATCATTTTCACAGGAAAAGAAAAATTTATTTAAAATGGAATTAATGATATAATAATACCAAATTATTGTTGGTTTCGATACCTCAAAATCAGAACGTACTACAATAATTCCGTATTACTGTTTATAGTAGGTGATTCCCCTTTTTTTGCAAACAAAAGAGGATCACCAGCTGGTAACAAGATCGTCTACCCCAATTTAATTTTCAAAATTTAAAAAAAAAATAAAATAAAATAAAAACAGAATGGATATAAAGTTTTGAATTCATGAACTCGTTTATTCAAAAATTCACTAATTTCGTGGTCCGAGTGACCAATTAATATATTACAATTAATTAAGGTTTTTAGTTGAGGTAAAAAAGTCAATGGCACGAGCGGGATTTGACCCCACGATCTTCGGCTTGATACGCCGCTGCTCTACCACTTGAACTATCGTGACCTCGATCCACTCGGACACCAACTTCCCATCTCAACCACACCCTTTGAATTTTCCCTCCTTTTTTCCATTTTTCGAATGTCGTGTAATCGGGTTGGATTCTTGACGACAAATGAAATGGCCACAGAGAGCTTTAGTGAAGATGATTAATGATTAACAATGAAGTATACTTCACTAAAGCTCTCTGTGGCCATTTCATTTGTCGTCAAGAATCCAACCCGATTACACGACATTTGAATATTGGCAAAAAGGAGGGAAAATTCAAAGGGTGTGGTTGAGATGGGAAGTTGGTGTCCGAGTGGATCGAGGTGACGATAAATCAAGTGGTAGAGCAGCGGCGTATCAAGCCGAAGATCGTAGGTTCAAATCCCGCTCGTGCCATTGACTTTTTTATCTCAACTAAAAACCTTAATTAATTGTAATTTATTCAAAAAGAAAAATAATTAACATTGATAGTTTGGCCCTTACAAACTCAATTGAACCAAATCGAAACAATAACGAAATTTTACACAAAAAACAATTTTAAAAAAATTGTCTCACCTTAATTAAACAGAAATTGCAAACAGATCAGACTCCTTTACGTTTAGCTGTCCGTTAGTCGATAATTATTTAGAAATCGTGAGATGCGGTCTGGTGTGATATACGTTTCAGAAAAACATTTTCTTTATCGTGCCAACGTTTCGATCTTTATTGAGATCATCTTCAAGGTTCAAAATGTTTGTTTTCTGTGTAAGTGTGCCATTCTTGGCACTTTGAGCCCTGAAGATGATCTCAATAAAGATCGAAACGTTGGCACAATAAAGAAAATTTTTTCTGAAACCTACATCACACCAGACCGCATCTCACGATTTCTGAAGAATTAACTATTACATGTTTTAATTTACTTCTGATAATTCTCTAAATATTGCCAAGGCAAAAAAAGCTAATTGGCAATGATAATTGTAATGTTTACTGCTGCTATCGTTACAATTTGAAGTATTTGCTAATAAAAAATTGTTTAAGAAGATGATCTCAATAAAGATCAAAACGTTGGCACGATAAAGAAAATGTTTTTCTGAAAACTACATCACACCAGACCGCATCTCACGATTTCTGAATAATTTTTTAAACAAAATACTATTACAATTTAGAAAGGTAAATATATGATGGCATCCAGTGTGCAGGTTTTACGAGAGATTTAATTTCGCATTATATTTAAAATTGTAAAAATGGGTGTTGGTGGGCGCAACAGTTAAGGCGTTGACCTGGCGCTCTCACTGTAAAGGAAAGGTCCCAGGTTTGAATCCATTCGAACCGGACATACAAATGGGCTTTTTTTCAAAAACACCGGCACCCCGAGGGTTCATGTAACTTTGCAGTTGAAATACCCTCATAAAAAAATAAAAATAAAGAAGAAAAAAATCAAAATTATATTTTTCAGTTTTATGCAAACATACATTTATTACTGTTGTTATTGTTTGTTATGATTTTTTTCAGGACTATGATGCCATGGTTCAGTTGGTAGAGGATCTACAAACCATACCAAACAGAAATGAATACAACCAAACTCCTGTCCTTAGGTATTTGTATCCATTTGCTTTAAACAGGAAAGTAATTTTGTCCCTTTTTAAATAATTATTTTTTTTAATTATAAAAAGATTATTTTAATTTTAAAAATTAACAGGAGAAACAAAGAAGGCGACAGAGAAAAAGCTTTGCAAGTAATAGAGAAAGCGCTTACAAAGAAAGAAAACCACATACCGGATATGGTCTGCCTTTGTGGGCGAATCTACAAAGACAAGTTTGTCGAGTCGATCTATGAGGATAAATCAAGCCTCACGAGTGCGATTCACTGGTACAGAAAAGGGTTCGAAGTCCAGCCGAATGAGTATGCCGGTATTAACCTAGCGACGCTTTTGGTAATAGACGGGCACGAATTTTCAAAATCTGAAGAGTTGCAGCACATCGGTAATTATTTGTATAATGACGCATGCATTTTAATAATTTTTTTTATTCTTTTGATTTTGTTTTTAGGTATGGTTCTCAATCATTTGATTGGTAAAAAAGGCAGTTTATCGTCTTTGAAGGACTACTGGGATGTCGCAACGTTTTTTGAAATAAGCGTTCTCGCTGAGGACTACACGAAAGCAGTTCAGGCCGCAGAGTGCATGTTTAAATTGAAACCTCCTGATTGGTAAATTATCCCTCTTATACTCGCCTATACAATAAAACAACTTCACAATGGATGAATAAAAGAAACACTTAGTGAATTAGTTAGTTAATCGAATGTTCACAGGTACCTCAAGTCGACAATTGGTAACATAAAACTCATAAATAGATTTCGTAAAAAAATGGATGAGTCAGAAGCCTCTCCAGAACAGAAAATATTTTTCTTTTGGATGGAGTATTTTGTCGAAGCTTTGAATTCTGAGTTAAAAGATATTATCCGCTTCCCGGTGTGTATAAACTCTATATATTCTGACAATGTTGGGAACTAACCAGCTGCATGAAACCAAACGCTGGGGTCATCATAACACTGACAAACCAATCTAATCAGCTTTTGGGACATCAGCATTGCTTTTTTTTATCAGTTACCTTAGAGAAAAAAAATTAACCCATTAAATTTAAATTCTCCAAATATATAGTGCCACCTTAACCTTTTCGGGACTGATTTTAAGATTCTAAAACACATTACCTTGTTCCGTTGAAAATTTGACTGAAAAAAGGGGAGAAATTGCTCCAATCTGATGAAGAGTTTTGGAAAAAAGTGTATCAAAAGTTGATAAAACACATTTTTATATTCAGATTAATTATACACGGTTTTTCAAGAAGAAAAATTTGTGAATTCGAACCTACGATCTTCGGTCACTATTTTGATGTTCTAGTTCTAACTAGTTGAGCTGCTGCGATTTTCATAGTCCACAAACTTCTCATTTTGATTTTCAATTTTATTCAAATTGTACTTTCTGTTGGATTACAAAGACGTATGTCCGTTACATGGCCCAAGTCACGGTTATGCAGCGTTTTAACATCTATGATAGTCTTCAGCAGTTTAGGGCCACAGGTAGTCTCCATTAAGGAGAAGATAGTGAGGACATTATTTAAAAGCTTCCTTGATATAACACCAAATGGTCTGTAATGCAAGGGTGAGCTGTAAAATAGTCATCAGAAGGCTTTGTGAGAATAGCCTGGTCTCTATAGATGTCTTGCATCTGGTTTCAACTACTGGTGAGGCATCGATAGATAGGCGACTATTCGCAAATCATTATCTTAAGCAATAGAGAGGGGCAGATCAATGGGGGTTTGATTTATGGCATTAAAACTGCACTAAGGTACGTTGTTTCCTGTATACTCGGTCATCCTTAAAAGGACAATGAGGATCCACACCTAGCCTTCAGGTTTTATTGGACGTTTTAATTCTCAAGATGCGAGCTGACGACAGAAGTGCCACAGCATTGGTGTAGAGGCAGCTCAGCCCCGAAGAGCCTAGACAACCTCGCTCCACGCTTGCCCATTCCAAGTGGTCGGGTCTGCATTAAGCATCGAACCGTATGCCATGCACAAAGGGCTACCTAAGCCAAAATACATCAGCTTGGTCTCCCGCACACCTCCCTAGATAGAAAAGGCCACTCTATCTCCCAGAGTATTGGGGCTTCTTTAGCATCGAAACTACCGGATCTGCTTCGGCCGTGGTTTCGTTTAAAGTGGAATTGCTACCCCCCCCCCCCCTAGAGGAGACTGCCTACGCTAAAAGCCACTAATCGCACTTAACCATGCAAAGCATACTCAAATAGGAGCAACCAATTCACTACCCATTTCCATCCACCACTCATGCGAGGGACTCCGTCAGAGCGACTTCAACGCTACACGCTTCGGTCTGATCCATCGTATCCCGTGAGGCCGGGTGAATAATGATGGTCATACACAAGTTTCATGCGAAGGTCACAAATAGAAGACAGCCTCTTCTCCAGGTACCCGCCAGGGGTGTCACCACGGCCAACTATGAGTCCATTCCCAGTGTAACAGGGGCTGAACTTTGGAACATTTCTGTTACCCTGTAGTACATATAGTTATGAACCTACCCCTGTCTACGCAAACAGGATCTGGTACCCTAACCCACGTGTGCCTCTATTAAAGCATCCACTGCTCCATGCCGACCCGAGGCCGACATGAGTACAGCTTGTGCTTTAAACAGGTGTACACCATTATTACTACACCATTTTGCGCTCGGAAACCGACCTTGTAGACAAGGGTTGGGAGGGGGTCACATGAAACAATAAAGGAACCTGGCGTGAGAAAGGGACGTGGATGAGGACACGAGGTACACCTTTCTTGGGCCCCGATCCTTAACCACATTGTACTAAGGTTCACTAAGATACATTGAGAAAGCATCTCTAGAAGCTCTGGTGGCTCTCCCATTTACTCCATTTATTGGAAAAACTTCATGTTAATGCACGATAATGCTCGACCTCCATCCAGTATGCCAAAAATTTGCCAGTATGTTCTCCTGATATGCATTCCACAGAACATTCAGGGGACGGTTTAGACATTGATCGCCTCCAATAACGTTGAACAGCTTCGAACTGCTCTTGCTGAAGAATGGGATTCTGTTTTACAAGACGAAATCCAGTCTCTTATTTACTTGATGCCTAGGAGACAAGACCTCTGAGACCAAAGAAGGGTATTATATGTTACGTACTAAGAGTAAAACTAGATATTAAATTTTTTAGTAAATTGGTAAATTTTAATCTATCACTAATAATTTTCTGATATTTTGGTGAATTTTCTTTTACCATCTTAATTAAATATTCTCGATTAAAACTCATAAATTTCTGATTCCTTTCATTAAAATAAATAATAAATTGTAATTAATATAATGATTTTTTCTTTTGTTTTAAAATCTTTGAGTGTTTATGTGAATAATAAATAGATACATAAATAAGGGCAGCAAAAACAAAAATATATTCTAAAAATTACTTTGAACATAAATGATAGAAAACTGAAACTGACGGCATGGGAAGGACAGGGGTGAGAAGTAGGCAAAAGGACATTCCCAATGAGACTAAGATATTGTGGCCAAATGGCTTTCAAGAAAAATAAAGTGTTATATTTTTGCGAAAATTCAAGAGAAAGGCCAGATTATGTACAGATGGGGGAGAAAAGAGTGTTTTGCTGATGATGAGTATGGGAAGGAAGGGCGTGGGAGGTCTCGTCTATTTTTTATTAAGGTGTCTGCTATACATTGGATACAACCTCAGCCCAATATATGCCATGATGTCCAGCTCTTAATATGAAAAAAAAAAAACTTGCGTCCTTGGGAGCATATAAGCTTGAACGAAAAAAATCATCACTGGGCCTGTGGAGCCTCAAAGCCCGAATGAGTTACGAGTCCCGAAAAGGTTAAAATTTTTTGATGTTATTTAAATTTGCCATGTCTTCAAGGCAGTGGATTAAATGTTTGTCGCTAATTCATGGATAAATGTGGGCAGATTCGGATTTAATTATGGCTTATTTCCACAAAATCGTGCAAATAAATTTGTTAATGTTTGGTCTTATTGTGTAGTTGAAAATTTATGGTTTATTCATCAGGAAATATATGTACTGTTTTGGGAGAACATGCATGAAATTAGTGTTTGGGAGTTATTTATCGTTCTCGTGCAATGTTTTTTTACTAGGTATATTTTGTTCATATGACTTTATAATATTCAAGTATTGAACAATTCATTGTATATTTTATTAATGTATAAAAAACCTGCAGTGAAAAAATGCTGATTGAATCAAAAATTATAATAGGATGAGTAAAAAAAAATTAATTAATTAATTAAAATGTTTTTAAATGGTTTTAGGCTTGTACGTTGCTCATTCTGTCTTTTAATGTTATTTGTTGTTAATATCATTTTTATATTTTACTATATTGGATAAACATCTATATTTTAACTTTAAGGAGAGACTAGGGATATGGGGTCACCGATTTTAATGACGCTATTTTTTGTGATGTATAAACCTGTGTCTGGGCGTTCTAACAAATGGGTCCTAGGAGCCACGATAATTAAATTCAGGATTGTATTAAATGATATATTTAAAAAGTTAAAAAACCAAAAGATTCCATTTGAGTACTCCTAAATGGCTGTTGGTGGCCTAACAGTTAAGGCGTTAACATGGTGACTCTTCATTGTAAGGCAGGTCAAGCGTCCTTTAAAGAAATTTTTACATCAAACAAAAAAATAGACATTTTTGAGCTGGGTTATCATGTGGGAATTGAACCAACGATCAGGGGGTTTACGAGCCAAGAGTCACTTGGACCATACAGCCACCACGATCCATTATGTATGGTGTACCTCTGAAAAATTCATACATCTTATGGATTTTATGCTATTTCCACAAATTTGACAACCCTGGAAAGCTGCATCTCTCCACTTTGCATCCAACAATGTTTAGTTTTTATGTCATTAAATGTGAGAAAAGAATGAAATCTACAAAAACTCCTCAAATGTTTTATTTTAAATTTTTGGTTCTGATTTATTTATGGTCAGTTTGTCATTATGTTTGGTTTATTGGCTTCTAAATCTCAGTAAATAAAAATAATGATAACTGAAATAAAAATAATAATAAGAATAATTAAAAACTTAATTTGGCTTTTCTTGGCTCCCGGACATGCAGAGACCTAGATAGCCTAGGTACCCCAAAAGCGTACTGAATAAAGAAATATTTATGGCATGCATGGAATACTTATTTTTTCTCCTCCAACTATTTAAATAAAAAATAAAAAAAATAGAACACATCGGACAAATTTTGGCTTCTCAGTCATTATTAGTTAATATTTTTCTTTCTTGTAAACCAGTCCCAGCTCTGAAGAAACTGAGGTAGACCAAAATGATCAAATATGTCTAAACTACAATTTCATTACCTCTCAGACCTGAAACGGGAAATTTCAAAATAAATTTAATTGTAACCCATTGAAACAAATTTTTTACTCATCCTAATAATCTTGAGTTAATAGACAAAAGGGTAATTAAAAAAAACTATATATAGATTTTTAATCCTGTGAACTTTAAACCTTATCTTTCAAGGCACTGGTTTATCAGTTTATTAGTTCTATCTTTTAACCCAACTAAAACTGTGAAGTATAAATAATTATTTTTTTCAAAAGACAGTTTTGTCTAAGAATTTATTGTTTTTAATTAATTTAGAGAAGTTGTATTGATTACACTTGTAATTAAGAAAAGTTAAATAATCTCAAATTCTAAAATTAGTAATTAGTAATTGTAAATTAAAAAAAAAGCAAAACAAAAGTTTTATACATTTATAAAGCCTTTAATATTAAAATGGCAAGAAATCATTATAAACGAAATATCAATTTAAATGAGTGGGGAGTGATCAGACAGAAATATGATCATGGTTGGTTCTCTTATGCTTATTCATCTGTTGTAAATGAGATAAGTGTGATAATGCTTCATCGACAGCATTCTAATTTGCTTTTTCAATTAAGTTAAAACTAATAATTTGTTTATGTCAGATAACATTTTGTTTTGGCTTGAGGTGGTGGTAAAATGAACTGTTATATTTCATTGTGTATGTTTTTTCTGTAGGTTTTGGTACTTGAGCCTACCAAAATTTTCATGCCCAGTTATGTGACTGTGAACTCAGGGGCTGATGAAAAATCCATTTCAATATTCAACCTTTGCCTTAAAGAACTGAAAGGCACTTGTAAACAGGTGCACGAATGGGTTTTCACTGCTAATATGATTAGAAGCCTCAGGTTTGTTAAAAAAAAAATCCAAGTTAAATTGTTTTCAATTGTAAATTAACTTTTTAGTTTATATAAGAGGGATGAAAGAAGCCTGTTCCTCTATGTCCATCAGAATTCAGATGATTTTCAGATTTATTTCTCATCACCGATGCAGCGACAACGGTTCTACGAGTTGGTACTCGATATGACTGCTGATCAAGAAGGAATAGTAATGGACCTCGATGCAGATATTTCTTCAGAACAAATCAAAGTAGTTCAATTTTTTAAACTTAAAATTTACTTTAAAATTTTTATTTTATTTACTCTAATTTTTTTTTATAGTTTGAATATGAATATGATCAAAATAATAAGAGGATTATTTTGGGAAAAGGGACATACGGAACTGTCTACCAAGCTAGAGATATGACTACCCAAGTCCGAATAGCTATTAAGGAAATTCCAGAAGAGAAAATAGGGTATGTAAAAAAATTGTTAAACGTTTCCTCCGAATGTAGTTCAAAATGGAAAATGAAATTGTTTTTAGTGATGTGCAACCACTACAGGAAGAAATCAAGCTACACTCGCAGCTAAGACATCGCAATATTGTACAATATCTCGGCTCGGTGTCAGAGAACAATTATTTCAAAATTATAATGGAACAAGTTCCAGGAGGTAAATTTTTTTTAATCTAACAAAACAGATAAATACATAAATTGACATATACCATTTAAAATATTACAAATAAATAAATTTAATAAGTTAATCAAATCACTATAAAATAATTACACTGCTTTATTAGCAACAGACTCTTTCGTAGAGAAGTAGTTCAATTTTTTACACATCTCTTTTTATTAAGATTAATATATTTTTATTTTATTTACTCTTTATTTATTATAATTAATTAAGGGTTTTAGTTGAGATAAAAAAAAGTCAATGGCACAAGCGGGATTCGAACCCACGATCTTCGGCTTGATATGCCGCTGCTCAACCACTTGAGCTATCGTGACCTCGATCCACTCGGACACCAACTTCCCATCTCAACCGCACCTTTTGAATTTTCCCTCCTTTTTGCCATTTTTCAAATGTCGTGTAATCGGATTGGACTAAAGCTCTCCAGCTGACCATTTCATTTGTCGTCGAGAATCCAATCTGATTACACGACATTCGAAAAATGGGAAAAAAGGAGGGAAAATTCAAAAGGTGCGGTTGTGATGGGAAGTTGGTGTCTGAGTGGATCTTGGTCACGATAGCTCAAGTGGTAGAGCAGCGGCGTATCAAGCAGAAGATTGTGGGTTCGAATCCCACTTGTGCTATTGACTTTTTTATCTCAACTAAAAACCTCAATTAATTATAATATATTAATTGGTCAAGCAGACCACGAAATTTGTGAATTTGAATCTTTATTTATTAATTTTTTTAAATTTTTTATTATTATTTTAGTATGAATATGAATATAATCAAAATCATAAGAGGATTATTTTGGGTAAAGGGACATACATTATAATACATTATTCAGGGGTTAAATGAATGAATTAAGAGGACAACACAGACTATGGAAAAAAGTGTTAATAAACAAATTCATCAATATTATTAAATTGTGTATTAAATTTGGATTTCAGGAAGTCTCTCAGCTCTTTTGAGAAAGAAGTGGGGCCCATTGAAAGGAAATGAGTCAACAATTGTGTTTTACACTAGACAAATTTTGGAAGGTTTGAAATACCTCCATGACCAAAAAATTGTCCACAGAGACATAAAAGGTAGTAGTAACTTTCCTATGCGTTTTAATTTTAATTTTTAAACGTCTTGATATTTAAGGCGACAATGTTTTGGTGAATACATACAGCGGTGTAGTGAAAATATCAGATTTTGGAACGTCGAAGCGTCTTGCTGCCATGTGCCCAGATACGAAAACATTTGCCGGTACTTTACAATATATGGCACCTGAAGTTATAGACAAAGGGCAGAGGGGTTACGGTGCTCCGGTATGCTTTTTTGATGTCTAAAAACATAGTTTTTGTAATAAATAATGAGTATGTTTTTTAGGCTGATATTTGGTCTCTTGGCTGCACAATTGTTGAAATGGCTACGGGGAAGCCACCTTTTATCGAACTCGGCTCCCCCCAGGCTGCTCTTTTCAAAGTCGGATATTATAAAATCCATCCAGTTCTTCCGGAAGAGCTGTCAGACAAGGCGAAAAATTTCATCAAACGGTGTTTTGATCCTGATCCGAGCAAACGGGCCACAGCTTCAGAGCTTCTTGAAGATCCCTTTCTCTCAGAGTAAGTAGCTTTTTGTAAAAATATTTATTAAATGTGTTGACTAATATTAAATAAATTTCAGCAAAAAGAAAATGTCAAGAGGTCTTGTGCAACCTCAAGAGCTCAATAGAAGTGTCTCAGTGCCTGCGGAAAGGTTCAATAAAGTCCACCAACAAACAAGCTCTTACTGCAATTCTGTGTCTTCAACTTATAACAATAACAGCGTAGTTCAGAAAGTGCCGAACACTGACGAGGTGTAAGTAGAATCTTTTATAAAATTTAGATTATAATATAAGTCTTGGCTTTGGATTTTAATTAAAACATCAAACTGGTTATGAGTGTTTGACTAATAATATTACTGTTATTACAATGGATTCGGTTCATATAGTTTTATTTGTACAATGTCAGAATCATCAAAAATGAAATAATGAACACTAATTTTTTTAAATTCACTAATTTCATGGTCCGCTTGACCAATTAATATATTACAATTAATTAAGGTTTTTAGTTGAGATAAAAGTCAATGGCACGAGCGGGATTCGAACCCACGATCTTCGGCTAGATACGCTGCTGCTCTACCACTTGAGCTATCGTGACCTTGATCCAAACGACATTTTTTTTTTTTTTGGTCTTGAACTAGTGTACATCTAGCCATCTACATTCATTGCTTGATGCTACCGGCCCCCGCCGAGCCAGCACGGCCCCCAAGACCGGCCAGGAAGGACACCTGGGCTCTCCATTTGTAATGGGGAGATCCTCAACATAACAGACTGTTCCCGATGGTGGTGGATAAAAACCTTACATGTTAAAGCTACCCTTGGAAAAGTCCAACACCATCACCCAGTCCGGAGCGTAACGCGCCCTGAGAGCGCAGAGATGTCCCCCAATGGTCCCCAGCTGAACCGTCCCCGCGCGGCCCCCCTCCCGGATGCCAACATGCCTCAAGGATGGTTATATATCTTAAATATCTATGTTATCAGTGATGAATTTGTATATGGTATCTAGTATTTCAATCAAGTTCGTATAGTTTAGAATTAAGTTTACCGAAGTGGGGAGTGGGATTTTATATTTCTTGAGCGCTTTAAAAATATGTTCTCTTCCGGTAGTCTTCAGTGGGCATCCCAGTATGATGTGGTTTGCATCCGCCCTTGAGGTATCGTCGCACGAGCATTTGCTTGTTTGTGTAATTCCTATCTTATGCAGGTGTGAAGGGAATCTATTGTGGTTGAACCTCAGTCTACATATAGTGGTAAAGAATTTTCTATTTCTTTTAACATTTGAAAACCACGGTTTAGACTGGATGTTTGGTTGGGAGGCAGAGTACCAGATGCCTTTGCTTTTGGATGATTGTTCGTACTCGCATTGCCATTTCTTGCGTAATAAGACCTTATTATGCGATACAATGTCCCCGGCTGAGATCTCTTTGATGTTGTTTCCCGATAGAGCAGCTGCTTTTGCCAATGCATCAACCCGCTGGTTAAATCGGTTGTTGTTATGGCCTTTGACCCAGAGAAGATGAATAGCTATACCACTTCCGCAGGCCAACAAAATGTTTTTGATCTCTACGATAATAGGATCTTCAGGAGTATCCGTTTTCTTCTGGGCCGTAAGAACACTAAGGCTGTCCGAACAAATTATGGTCTTGGCTGGTTTTGTCTGTTTAATGTATTTGACAGCTTCCCTTATGGCTATAGCTCCAGCGGAGAAGATCGTACACAGAGGTGGGAGTTTAAACTGCCTGGAATAGTCATTATTTATATTAAGTATTGCAGCCCCTACCCCATACTGGGATTTTGAGCCATCTGTATAGACTACCATAGCCAGCGGGCTTTTATCATTCTCAAAACAGACCTTAATGTAGTCTTGTTCACCTTTCAATTCCTGTAGGCATGTTATAACCTTAGGTGCGAAGAGAGGAATAAGCCAGTGGAGTTTTGTCTTTGACGAGCGGATGATTTTTCCCAGAGAGATGCTTTTCATTTTCATATGAGTTTCAAGTAGAGGTGGCGTGACTCTAGGGGGTTTGTGAGGATCACTAAGGGCAGTGACCGCCATAACTACAGTCTGGTCCCATAACTACAGGATGGTTTGGATCGTGCATTTGAGTAGCTAGGAATTTTGTTGTTAGTAAAACGACATTTGAAAAATGGCAAAAAGGAGGGAAAATTGAAAAGGTGGGGTTGAGATGGGAAGTGGTGTCCGAGTGGATCGAGGTCACGATAGCTCAAGTGGTAGAGCAGTGGCATATCTAGCCAAAGATCGGGGTTCGAATCCCGCCCGTGCCATTGACTTTTATCTCAACTAACAACCTTAATTAATTGTAACTAATTTTTTTTTACCTTCACTTTAGCCAGTGCATAAATTTAATTAAATTTTTATTGAAAAATGAATCTCAAAAAATCATCCAGATAACTAATACCTGGATAGCATAGTTAATTTATTTTCGCTATTATTTAAAACTATAAATACTGGTGGATTTTTCATTGTAATTTTTTTTTGTGACATTGACCTGCTATAAATGTATGGTGGTTTCTGAAACATTAACAAGATCGTTGTGAAATTAACCTTTTATAAAAATTGTTCTGCCTTAAAAGTTGTATCACCGATTTGGTGTTTTTGTTAGGCTGGTCTTAAATTAATCGTTTGTTGTTGAGCTTGTTTGTTATTGTGATTTAACAGTGTTTCCACCCAGTCCCATCCAGCCAAGAACAAAAGCTCGTCCTTGCTGGCGCCCATCGTTATGCCCACAAGAGGACATTCAATGAACAGGTCAGTTGCTTGATTGGTATCAGTGGGATATGTGACTTTCAAAAAAAATTTAAAAAATATTTTTTAAATTTAAATATCGACATTATTTTTTAATTAATTAATTTGAATTGGTTACATATTTTGTTTAGCATCAATACTCCTGAGATTGAAGAAATGCCTGTAATAACGAGAAGAAGCAGTTATGTCGGTGTCATGTCGCCTGAGGTTGAAGGAGGCCCAAAAGCTCCTATGGAACAGGACGGGTTTTATCTCTTAAAGAAAGACAACCAGAGGAGAAAGACTTTATCTGAAGTGTTGACTGAAGACGATGCCAGCATATGTGATGCGATGATGGAAAGGATTAAGAAGGAACTGACTGATACTACAATCGATGAAGTATGTTATATCATGTACATTAAGATTTTTTTATATTTTTATAACATCGTTTTTTCAGGCACATTTGGAGTCGCTAGTGGCCATGGTTAGGGATTATATTGCAAACCAGGATAAAACCGTGATGGAAAATGCTATAAATAAATTGAAAGCTGAATTTAACAATGACACGGTCTCGTTGGACCACTTACAGTTGGCACTTTATTTTTTTCAAGATGCTGTAAGTATTGTTCGGCTTGTTAAACAAAATGCGTAAAGTACAAACCGTAATTTATGTACAGGTAATAAACGCACTGCGTCTGAGGAAAATAAAACCCCATTGGATGTTTGCATTAGACAGCCTTTTGCGAACTGCTGTACAAACTGCGAATTCATTTTTGTCTCCTGGTATGTATAATTTTTATTCTATAAAGAGTTCTAATTGACTTTTAAATTTAATAATTTGTTGGATTTGTGATGAGTGGTCAAGAATGAGGTAGTTCGGAAACGTTTTTCTAAACTACCTAATTCTTTACCGTTTCTCACAAATCCAACAAATTATTAAACAACCGGACACTAAAAAAACACATTTAAATTATTAAACAACTGGACACTAAAAAAACACATATAAATTATTAAACAACCGGACACTAAAAAATTTTTCAATTTAACAAAATTCTAACAATATCCATATTAAATTAAAAATATTACAAATCTATTGATGAAAAAGCTGATGGAGATAAAAGATAAAAGCCTAAAAAAAGATAAAAGATAAGCCTAAAGATAAAAGCTGATATAATATGTAAGGTATAATATATTTACTTGTAAAATAAGAATATAGCATTTTTTAATAATTCAATTTTATTCCTCTTGTGTTTTCAAGTATTGTTTATTTAGTCCTTATACTCAACTGAACACTGAAAAGTGATGTCAGGTGTTTTTATTTGTCAGTTTCATTTGAAATCTTGCATTCGAAGTAGGTGTTTTGCCAATTTAAAATAATTTATTTTTCTCATTTAATATTTTTTATTTGTTTAATTTTTGTTAGCACAAAGGTAAAATTAAATTGCAGCTTAGACTGCTAGGAAATTTGTGTTATTTGGTAACGAAGGTTTAGGAGAAAGCACCGTCTGTAAGAGGTTTGTTCGGTTCAGAAGCTGAAATATTCATTTGGCTGGATATTCTGTTTGCCCTTTATCCATTGTTGATGACCAAATCAAAGCTTTTATCACAAATATCCCACACTCAACCACATGAGACATCGCATGCACTCTCATGTTAAGAGAAAGAAGCGTTTCGATTTGAGAGTAGTTGATTTTTTATTCTATTTATTAATTTGTTCCCATTTTTGATTACTGATTTTAACATGCTTCAATTACAAATAATTACACATTAATATTATTTTACAATTTACATTTATTTACTTTATTATTTATTGAGTGTCTCATTTTTTAAATGTATTATTATTATTGATTGGACTTTTACCCCAAAGGGTTGTCGCTCCCTGATGTGCTGACCTTAGTGTCTATACATCAAGGAGTTCACCACTCAATTATGTGGCTGGGTTACTAGTATCGCCCTTAAGCCAAATGCTCAGGAGGTCGTTACTTCCCTACCAACAGGGTTAGATTCCAACGGGGGCTATTGACAGCTAGGTCATTTTAGCCCCAAACGCATCTAAACTATAATCTAGCCTAATACTACTTAAATAGTATAAATCAGTTACACAAATAAATACATTCATGCATTGCACTTATTCAGTCCTCTTCTGATATTATCACTTCACCCAATCCGCCTTAGTTAAAATTACACACCACAATGGGCCTTCAAAAATTCACCATACTAATCGATTCCATCAATCTTCTCCAAACTTGAAACCTTTTCCTTTTCCAATAATGCGATGGTTCCACTCTTTCCATACCTGCCATTTCCAAGCAGTGACTTTTCCTAATGGCCACACTTCCTTACCTTATCTCAAGGCTGTAGCATTTCCCCTCTTGTGTTGAACATTTACATCATTGATCACAACTCCATTCAGCTCTGCGATTGCCACCGCTATGCCGATGCTTCCATTCCTCTGAAATTCATTCCCCCTTAACACTGATTCATCCGTGAAAATTATATAATTTTTAGGTAGCATCGTGTTTATATCTGCCCAAAATAATTTATCTGCAACGTATGTAGGGTATTCTGAATAGTCCCTTAAGTACTGTTTTACGATATTCTAGCTGCAGAATAGGATGAAGCTTATTTTTGTATACTGAAGATATGTCTGGGGATAAGTGAGAAAAGCATTTACAGAGTTGGGCAAATTCCAATCTCAAATTTGATTAACGATTAATTTAATCAATCTCAAATTTGATAATTAACGATTAATCACTAATCTTAATCAAATTTGATTGATTAAATTAATCGTTAATTGTTTATCAAATTTGAGATTGATTAAATTAATTTATCAAATTTGAGATTGATTAAATTAATCGTTATCAAATTTGAGATTGATTAAATTAATCGTTAATTATCAAATTTGAGATTGATTAAATTAATCGTTAATTGTTTATCAAATTTGAGATTGATTAAATTAATCGTTAATTATCAAATTTGAGATTGATTAAATTAATCGTTAATTGTTTATCAAATTTGAGATTGATTAAATTAATCGTTTATCAAATTTGAGATTGATTAAATTAATCGTTTATCAAATTTCAGATTGATTAAATTAATCGTTAATTGTTTATCAAATTTGAGATTGATTAAATTAACCGTTAATAATTTATCAAATTTGAGATTGATTAAATTGATCATTTATCAAATTTGAGATTGTTTAAATTAATCGTTAATCAAATTTGAGATTGATTTAAATTAATCGTTAATTGTTTATCAAATTTGAGATTGGTTAAATTAATTGTTAATCATTTATCAAATTTGAGATTGATTAAATTAATCGTTAATCAAGTTTGAGACTGATTAAATTAATCGTTAATTGTTTATTAAAGTTGAGATTGATTAAATTAATCGTTAATTGTTTATCAAATTTGAGATTGATTAAGTTAATCGTTTATCAAATTTGAGCTTGATTTAACTAACGATTAATCAATAACATTTAATCATAAATCATTAGTGCATTAGGGTTTTATCAGATCCTTTTGTATTAGCTATGGCCTGAAAATAATGAATCTGTAGTCTTGCAACTTTCATTTTGGTTTTTATCTAAAATGAAAAATTAATGATCTTGGACTGAATACACCAAAATTTACAGTTAGAAGTTCAAGGATTGGCTTGAAATCCGAAGAAGGCTTGTATTGTAATATGAATAATATTTAGTCGTGCATTGTATGACGAATAAAGTATTATTCCATGATTATAATCAAAACATACGTCAAATCAGAATCCTTACTCTCCGCTAAACATTATTCCTTAGTATTATTATTATTATTAAAATACCAAATTATTAATGTTTTATCTAGAAAAACGATTTATATTTAATCATGTTTAATGATTAACTATACAGATCGTAAATATTTAACGAATGTATCTAACCTTTATGTGGCAAATGTTGCACTTTTTTGTTGTCTAAAATTATATGGGTAAAAGCGCGGTGCAGCATCATTATGTAAAAAATTATGTTGAAAGACAATTGAATTAATCAATAAATTAATTATTTAATCTGATTAACAATTAATTTAATCATTAAGTGCATGTTCAAATAATAAATAATTGGATTAATCATTAATTGAAAGTTTGATTAACAATTAACTTTTTAATCATAATAGTTTGACAATTAATTAATTGTGAATAAATAAAAAAAATAAAATAAATAAAAAATTAATCGATTACGCCCAACTCTGAGCATTTTTTATGGGGGGGGGATATTCTTTTTGTATTTTTCAATTAGAATCAATTCAGCAAGTAACACAATTCTACTCGGCAAAAAACTGCGTACTGCAAGTTTGTTAGTTTTGTTAGGAGTGAGTTTGGTTATTCTGAAGTTTATGTGAGGTAACATAATTTCTGCTGACAAGACAATTGTTTTGAATTTTTAGAGGGAGCCTTGGGCGAACACGACATATTCTATGAACACGTCGGTCAAGGTGTACGAACTGGGTCTGTAAATTCCAATTCGACTGTCAACTCGCAGCATACTAGCTTAAGCTACCATTCTCCCAAACATCTCCTCAGGGGACAACTCAGTTCCCTAAAAGCTGAAAATGCAAAGTATTACATTATTTTTTTTAAATTATGTACTAAAGGAAGAATATAAATTAAACTTGGTTTGCAGATTAATGCAAGAATCTTTTGAGGCACAGTCGAATATGTACAACTTGCTCAAACAGATGTTAGACCAACAGAAAATGTTTGTAGATGTTATGAAAGGCGTTATTGAGAGCACATCGGTATTAACGACAGCTGTCACTAACTTGGCAAAAGATAGGTTTGTTGTTTTAGTTGATTAATTATGTTTTCTTTATTGAACTGGCATTTTGTTTTTTAGGATGGATAGAGGATCAGGTAGTTCTAATGGCATGGAACTGCCAGAGATTAGTATTACTGAATGCCAGGTGGACAATAAACTGGTTGAATGGCTCAACTCGCTTAAACTCGATGATGAATCTATACAAAAGGTAAACCAATAATTATATTTTATTTAATGTTAAACTAATGAAATATTTATTTAAAGTTTATTCATGAACAATATACAATGGATGATCTACTCCAGTATTTAAGCAGAGAAGACCTGAGGAGAATGAATCTCCGGTGAGATTGTCTTTATATAATTTTTCTATTGTCATCTGAAATTTGTATATTATTTCTTCACGTACGTTTTATTTGTGCAGAGGAGGTGTTGAATTGAAAGTATGGAAGGCGATTATGGCTTGGAGGAGGGAACACAGGCCTATAAACCAAAATAGAAAACCGTCAGTTGAGAAGTCAATAATCGTCAACAGTATATCAAACCATCACCAGTTATGACTATTGGCCGCCCTATTCAGTTTTTACTTCTTATTTGTTATTCTGGTACATTGAATCGACTGAGTTTTATTTGTATCTTAGTTTCATGTTATCTTAGAAATGTTAATGTTTCATGTTCTACAAGCTTTAAACAATTTGTATAATGGGTTGTTGTATATATTGATGTAAATAGGCGGTTATGCTCTAATCTAACATGTAAATAAAAATATTGTTTGTAATATTTAATTTTAAAAATGGTTTATATTATTTTATTCACTCCTTACTAGGCCCATAATTTGCAATTTGGTCATTATCAGTTATTTTGGTCTGCCAATTCTTGCTAAGTTTGTCAGATGCATTTCGGTACAAATCTAACAAGGGGATAACCTGGTTTAAGCAAATTTTTTTTTTTGTGATTTTACACTCCAAAATAGTGAACACGTATCCACCACTTCTTGTGGATAGGCCTTGGTTTCACCAAAAAATTTAAAAGTTGAAATTTTCCATTTTTTTATTTCACCCTGGTTTCACCAAAAATTTAAAAGTTGAAATTTTCCATTTTTTAATATTTTTATTTCACCCTGGTTTCACCAAAAAATTTAAAAGTTGAAATTTTTAATATTTTTATTTCACCCTGGTTTCACCAAAAATTTAAAAGTTGAAATTTTCCATTTTTTAATATTTTTATTTCACCGTTCTACTTGCTCAAATCAACTATGTTAATATATCATCATGTGAAACACAAAATTTCCATTTTCCCAACTTTTACCTAATTTATTCACAATTTTGACTCCTTTTTCGGAATGAGCAATGAATTTCCTATAGAACTACACCATTTTTATTGTTTTGCGACACGCTTAAATGTCATTTATAACATACGTAATGTAAAATTTATCAGAAAATCTGTTAAAAAATTTGCCTCTTTTTTACAAATAATCTTAGAGGCTGTCAAATCGCACAAAAATTTCTTCATTTAACAATCTTTCTAATGATATTATGCATTACTGTGATTGATACTTCTTGGGGAGGAGAAACCAAGCTTAAAAGGTGAAAAATCGTGGTCTCAGTTGAGGGAAAGGGGTGGAAGTAGGTTGTCATGTTCGCATTCCTTTCCTTTATTTTTATTATCATTTTAGAAAAAATACACATTAAAGAAAACAAAGTATTCAGGATAAAATTTATTCGAACTGCATTCCCCTGTTCCTGATGCACAACCTTGCCTGTTTCCGAACAGCTCCTACAGTATGTGAGATTTAACTTCTCCCTAGGATTTTTGTGCTGCAGCAATTATTCTTCTCTTTAAGTCCTCTTCACTGTTGACCTGAACCTTGCAGACTTGTCGTTTGAGAAAACCCCAAACAACGATGAAAACATTGAAAACAACAGGTTCATTACTGGAAGGATACAGTCAAGGTTGTAATACGTGTAATTTTCTATGATATTGTCTTTAAAAATTTACAGGTTTTGGGCTGAAAAAAAGATGAAAAGATAGTGATTGCTGTATTGCTTACAATTTTCTGCAAACCATCCTTTGAAATTGTGTGGGATAATTATTGAAACAAAACTATGAAAAACGTACGGAAAGCTGTATTAATTATTTTCAATTAACCACCCTTTGAAATTTTATGGGTTCTTTACAGAGCAAGTAAATAACGAAATTCCTAGCCAAGGCTGTTTTACATGTACTTTTTCGATGAACCTTCCATTGAATGAATTAGATATCTTTATAGTTTAAACACTTGCAATTTTCTATGACATTGTCTTTCAAATTTACAAATGTTGGGCTGAAAAAAGATGAAAAGACAGTCATTGCTTATAATTTTCTACCAACCATTCTGTGAAATAGTATGGGCTAATATTGACCAAAAACTACTAAAAAACGTACTTAACGTCGTTATTTTCAATTACTCACCATTTGCAATTTTATGGGTTCATTACAGCGTAAATTAATAACGAAAATCACAGCCGAGACTGTATTACATGTAATTTTTCGATGGATCTTCCTTTGAAAGAATAGTATGGCTTACTGGTAAAATCATAACTGAGGAAAAGACATAGTCAATGCTGTATTGCATGTACATAATTTTTATGAACGATCCATGGCCATTTTATAAGCTTATTACTGGAAAAGCAATAACAAAGGAAGGATACGGTCAAGGTTGCAATACCTTTAATTTTCTATGACATTGTCTTTAAAAATTTACAGGTTTTGGGCTGAAAAAAGATGAAAAGACAGTGATGGCTGTATTGCTTACAATTTTCTGCAAGCCATCCTTTGAAATTGTGTGGGATAATTATTGAAACAAAACTATGAAAAAACGTACTGAAAGCTGTATTATTTTCAATTAACCACCCTTTTGAAATTTTATGGGCTTTTTTACAGAGCAAATAAATAACGAAAATCCGAGCCAAGGCTGTATTACATGTACTTTTTCGATGAATCTTCCTTTGCATGAATTAGTTAGCTTTAGTACTATAATAATATACTATAATATACTATATACTATGTGTGGTGATTAGTGACCATTATTCAGAAATCGTGAGATGCGGTCTGGTGTGATGTAGGTTTCAGAAAAACCTTTTCTTTATCGTGCCAACGTTTCGATCTTTATTGAGATCATCTTCAGGGCCTGGGATTTACAAACATTGTTTACATTTAACAAATACATTTAGGATGTGGAAAAGTGAATTTATACAATACAAAATATTTTGCATGTATAAATTCACTTTTCCACATTTTTTCAAAAACACCGGAACCACGAGGGTTGATATGACCTCTGCCCCTTTAAAAAAAAAGAGAAAAAATCTAGAAAATTGACTTTGAAAATGTACTGCTTAATTATTGAAATAATAACTGTAAAACATATATTCAAAAGTGTGTTAGTTGTAGTTATTTTTAAATAACCACCTTTTGACATTTTAATGGTTCATTACGGAGCAAATAAATAACGAAAATCACAGCCGAGACTGTATTACATGTAATTTTTTTATGAATCTTCCTTTCAATGAATTATACAGCTTTATTACTGGTAAAATAATGACTAAAGAAAAGGCACAGTCAATGCTGCAATTGCATGTACATTTTTTTATGAACGATCCATGGCCATTTTATAAGCTCATTACTCGAAAAATAATAACAAATGAAGGATACACTCAGGGTTGTAATACTTGTAATTTTCTATGACATTTCTTTAAAAATTAACAAGTTTTAGGCTGAAAAAAGATGAAAAGGCAGAAATGGCTGTATTGCTTACAATTTTCTACAAACCATGCTTGGAAATTGTATGAGATAATTATTGAAACAAAAACAAAAAACAAAACTACTAAAAAACGTACGCAAAGCTGTATTAAACATTTTACTTTATTATTTTCAATTAACCGCCTTTTGAAATTTTATGGGTTCATTACCAAAACAAAAATAAATAAATAAAGAAAATCACAGTCAAGGTTCCAGAGGTTTTTATGATCCGACCTGACTACATTAATTTATCGATCAGGCACCTTTTTTTGATGTATGAATTTCCAATATTCAATTCAAACCAAAATAAATACAAGACCAAAATATTAGTTAGTTCTAAATCTTTTATTACAATTTATTTCCAAATAAAATTACAATTTCTTTTATTAATTATGATTTTTAATTTAAAGAATCTTTTATTTTATAAAATTAACCTATTTCAAAATCTACAAACATCAATTTTAAAATCGAATTTAATTCTCGTTTTATAAAGAAAAGTAAAAAATTATTATTAATATTAATTTCACTAATTTCGTGGTCCGCTTGACCAATTAAATCATTACAATTAATTAAGGTTTTTAATCTCAACTAAAAACTTCAATTAATTGTAATTATTATTAATTTTTGACCACCAATTGGAAAATACGATTAAAATTTTAACATAACTTTTAAAATCAAATGTTATTTCTTTTATTTTTCTTTATAAAAATATATTTTTTTTGTTTCAACCCTTTTTAAATTAAAGTACAATTATTATTTTTTGTTTTGACGTCAAAATATAAAATTTACTCAGAATTGTGTGCACACTTAATTTTTTTAAAATTATTGTTGAAGTTATTTTATGGAAGGTTGCTTATTTATTTATAGATTATATTTTGCTACAAAAAAAAAACCGGTTTGCTTAAAAACTACTTGTTTAATGCATATATATTCAAGGATAAAATGAATTATTTAATGAATTAAGAAATGAAGTGTTAAAAACAATTATAGTAAGATTCTTTTTGTGATATTGACCAGGCCTGTATTTGTGATGACTGTTTTAAGAACCCAGACGTGTTTATACACATTTGAACACGTGTGTTAGTGTGTACATAAGCGTTGGCATCATTTCGGTTATTGTAGGCGACGCGATAGTGCTTGAGATTGGTACCTCATAACACGTGTCAATCAATAAAGAGAAACAATGGTCGCGATAGAGGAAGTCCGATTGCAATCGAGTGGACCCTCTTCGTCTCATTCTCTGGATTTGATTATGCAATATTCATAGTTATAGGACGTATCGGTGATGGGAGAGTGACAACCCCTTTCTAATAATTGGCTTACGAGACAATCATGCAGGAGATATGACCTAATAGGGGTTGAATGACAGAAGGGTTGTTGGCAATCTATATGCAGAGTAGTCCTTGCTACTTGCTTTCTACTCGAGTTGCCACGCCCAATACTAGTCGGAGCCCGTTCAAGATTGAGCTTTATGTTATTACTCACGACTCGTTTGTCTTTATGGGATGTGACCCATTGTAAACACGACGGGAAAACAAGCTTCATCAAACTGACCTGAATCGTTATTCAAACAGAAGCGAGTCTTTTATTTATGCGACATCCCTTTTTTTATTCGGGAGAATCGTCGAAAAAATTTCCTGGAAATTCACTGGATAAGCGGTGCGGAATGACGTCTAAAAAGTTCTCTCGTTTAATGCCGCGAACAAATCGATTCTCTACATAAATTGACTAATCAATTTATGTCTTATTAAGGAAAACAATACGGCTGAAAGAGAGGACCTGAGGAACCTTAATCATTATGAGCAAACTAACGACAAATAATTCATAATTTCTCAAAAGATAATACTAAGATTTTTTTATAGTCCGAATTAATCCAGCTTTCTTTTTCTATAAAAGAATATTTAAGATAAAGATAAATAGAATACAAACGTGCTGATCACTATATTTGATTAAAATTTTTAATTAATGTGTGTTGATTAGTGACCGTTAGTTGATGTTTATTCGGAAAAAGTGAGAC